TGTCTGGGATGGGGTCGGGGGATCACGCCGCATCGGCGATGTATCGGCGATGCATCACCGATGCATCGGCGATGCACCGGCCATGCACTGGCGACGTCGGCGATATATCCGCGACGTCGGCCTGGAAGAAACTGAGCCCCACATCGAGCCGCATCGCCGATACATTGCCGATAAATCGGCGATGCAACACGATCCTCCGACCCCATCTACTCAGATCCCATCTAGGAGGCCTAGATGTGAAGAGAACAATCACTTCCAACTTCCGTTTGGAAACAACTCCTGGACGGTCTTCTAAGAATCGAGCGACTCAGGGCGCTGAGCCCCGAGGAAGGGGCCATTGAGCCAGATAAGGGCGATTGGGGCGAAGTGCGGCCAAGATTGAGCCAGACTCCGCAGGAATTTGAGCCGGACTACGCGCGACGATGCACCAAAGCCGGGCTAATGCGGCATATATGCCGCACCAGCCCGGCTTTGGGCAACGGTCATGCCGGCGCCGATGCTGAACCTCACCTCCCGGGCCCCGCGCCCCAACCTCGGGAGGTCCCCGCAGAGATGTCTCGGGTCGGCGCTGGAGCGCTGGCAAGCCAGAGGGCAGCGCCGGAGGCGCCGACCGGGCGGAGGCCTCCGGCGCCGACCCGTCCACCAGGGCCGCGCGGAGCTCCAGAGGCGCGTGTGGTCATGCATCCCCGCGTCCCCCGCCCCCGCCGCGGTGGGCGCCAGGAAGCGGCCGCTGGGGCGCCCCGAGGTGGGCCCCGAGGCGCCCTCTCCGAGTCTCTCCGTCTGCTCTGGGGCACGTGCGCCCGGCCTCCCCAGATAGTGGGGAGGAGGGGGAGAAGAGGGAGGAGGAGGAGGAGGAGGAGGAGGCGGATGAGGAGGAGGCGGAGGAGGAGGAGGAGGAGGAAGAGGAGGAGGAAGAGGAGGAGGAGGAGGAGGAGGAGGAGGAAGAGGAGCAGGAGGAGGAGGAGGGGGAAGCATCGACCTGGAATCGGCGACGCAGCGCCGACGGGGCGGCTTGGCGGGGCCCCCGAGGCCCCAACGCCGCGCGGCGCTCCCGGGCGAGGTGCGGCACCTTTGGACCCGAGCGGCGAGGGATGGGCGCCTGGAGGTCGGCGCGTCCCCCGTGGAGAGTCGGCTCCGCTCCCTGGTGAGCGTTTTTGTTGACTCGGCGTTTCGGCATCGGGCGGCAAGGGGCGGGGAGGAGGAGGGGGGGGGTCTGGCTGCAGACCCTCTGCCCGGTGCGACACGACGGTGCGACTGGTTGCAGGACTGCGGCCTCTGGGGGAGGACTCCTCCACCCGCTCGATAGCAGGCGCCAACATACAGCCAAGATCTACTCCATGGGGAGGGGGGGCCCGCCCCGACCAGCAAAACAATGGATAATTACCCTGGCGACGTGCCCAACCACTGCGCAATGCGGGGCATGAATAGCTTGGGAGACGTTCTACGGAGGCGATGACGTGACTTAGGCGGATATACTTCTGCGAGCGGCATTCGTGGGGCTCGCAACCCCCCAAGGATTGCGAGGTCCCGCTCAGATCTGCGTGGCGCCTCACTCCGCTGGACCCGCCACCAGCCTTCGAAAGTAGCGACGATTTCGCAGATCGCGGCCCCCCAAGGACGACGAGGTCCCGCTCAGATCTGCGCGGTGCCTCACTCCGCTGGACCCACCAGCAGCCCTCAACAGTGGCGACAATTTCGCAGTTCGCAGCCCCCCAGGCACGGCGAGATTTCACTCAGATCTGCGCGGAGCCTCACTCCGCAAGACCCACCAGCAGCCCTCGAAAGTGGTGACAGTTTCGCAGATCGCTCTGCTGGCCCCCCAAGCAGCCCTCGAAAGTGGCGACAGTTTGGCAGATCGCAGCCCCCCAAGGACGGCGAGGTCCCGCTCAGATCTGCGCGGTGCCTCACTCCGCTGGACACACCAGCAGCCCTCAAAAGTGGCGACAATTTCGCAGATCGCAGCTCCCCAGGTGCGGCGAGGTCTCGCTCAGATCTGCACCGCGCCTCACTCCGCTGGACCCACCAACAGCCCTCGAAAGTGGTGACAGTTTCGCACATCGCTATGTCGGCCCCCCAAGCAGCCATCGAAAGTGGCGGCAATTTCGCAGATCGCAGCCCACCGAGGACGGCGAGATTTCGCTCAGAACTGCGCGGCGCCCACTCCGCTGGACCCACCAGCAGCCCTCGAAAGTGGCGACGGTTTTGCAGATCACAGCCCCCCAAGGGACGGCGAGGTCCCGCTCAGATCTGCGCGGTGCCAGGGACGGCGAGGTCCCGCTCAGATCTGCGCGGTATGTCATTCCGCTGGACCCACCAGCAGCCCTCGAAAGTGACGAAAAATGTCGAAGACCGCGGCCCCCCAGGGTCGGCGAGGTCCCGCTCAGATCTGCGCGGAGGAGGAGGAGGAGGAGGAGGAGGAGGAGGAGGAGGAGGAGGAGGAGGAGGAGGAGGAGGAGGAGGAGGAGGAGGAGGGGAGGGGGGGGAGGGGGAGGAGGAGAAG